AGGTAGCCCCGATTATTGCTGACTTAAGCATCGGAGTGTCTACCCCGAGTTCCACCTCAGGGCTTTGCAGGTCATCCCGAAGTGCAAGCGCGGACTGGAGAAGGACTTCTGGTTTGGTGCAATTACATTGGCGCCGTCTGTGGGAAACGAACTGAAAGCTTTCTGGTTGCTCTTCTATCATGGTTCACACTCGATCAGTCAGAGCTGGTAATTCATCTCTGCCTCTTGGGCAAGGTCAACCCCCCAACAACCTCCCGCCTCCGATTCCACCTCAAATTCCACCTCAGCTTCCACCTCAGGTCCCAATTATGTTCCCTCCTGTTGATCATGCAGAAGGAGGAGATGAAAATCAACCTCATGTCTCAGCTCACAATTCAACTTCCACTGCCAATCATGATGTAGTGACAGCTCAGCTCGCTGCCATGCAGCAGCAGTTTGGTGTTTTTCAGTTGGTACTAGCTCAGCTTTTAGCTAGAAACAACCCTGGTGATCCCCTCATTAATTTACTAAACCCTGCTCAACAACCCCCAGCTCCACAACAAAATCCCCAACCAGCTCAACCTGCTCCCGCTATTAGCGAATCTCAGGATCAATCCCACATAGCACTCGCTCAGCAACCCATCCCTGATGATGTTACTCGCCGCCTTGATAGCTTAGAAAAGCTGATAGCTGAACACCGAGGTGCTCCACCCCCACGCCATGCTACTGATTCCATACCTCATCCCCTGAATACCAACATCACATTGGAACCCTATCCTACCGGCTTCAAAATACCACAACTAGAGACTTATGATGGGACGAAGGATCCCGATGATCACCTGCATGCTTTTTACTCTTGCATGCAAGCACAGAATGCCTCTGACGCGTTAATGTGCAAGATCTTCCCCTCTACTCTGCGAGGTAATGCTCGAACTTGGTATTATAGTCTACCTCCGAGGTCGATCAGTTCTTACACAGAAATGGCATCTGCCTTTGCCATTAAGTTTTCTAGTAGAAGGTTGATTAGGAAAACTACTACTGAATTGATGTGAGTTAAACAGAGGGACGGAGAATCTCTAAAGAACTACATGAGCAGGTTCAATGATGCAGTTTTAGAGGTTAGTTCCTTTGATCAAGCTGTAGGGATTGCCGCTGTGATCTCAGGCCTTAAGCATGACAGGTTTAGAGACAGTTTGATCAAACATGCTGCCACCACCTTCAGCGAGGTGAACGATAGATCTCTGAAGTTTATAACCGCTGAGGAGTATGCCCTAGCACAAAACCCACCTTCCCCTAAGAACCAAAATCCAGAATGGAGAGATGACAATCCAAGCTGGAAGAGGATGAGAATGGCACAGAGCAGAGGTCCGATGTTGACCTCCCCATCGAGATTCGGAAGGACGAACTCAACACCCCAGCAACAGTCTGCAGGTAAACCTCCAGTTAATTGGATTCCTTTTAATCTGCCGATATCACAAATTTTTATGCAGATAAAGAACAAAATGGACTTGAGACGTCCTGGCCCAATGCGAACTGCTGCTGCTAGTCGTGACCACACCAGATATTGTGATTTTCATCAAGATCACGGCCATACTACAGAGCAGTGCAACAGCTTAAAATCCGAAGTACCAATCCATTGAAGAAACCAGTGGCACAGAAGCGGCGTCTCTTCGGGGGGGAGAGGCTTCAGGCTATCAAAGAAGAGGTAGAAAAACTCCTACAAGCTGGTTTTGTCCGGAAAGTTGATTACTGTGAATGGGTGGCTAACCCAGTTCTAGTGAAGAAGGCAAATGGCAAATGGCGAATGTGTATTGACTACACAAATCTTAACAACGCCTGCCCTAAGGATTGCTATCCAATGCCGAGCATCGATAAATTAGTTGAAGCGGCTTCAGGCAATGAGAGGTTAAGCCTCTTGGACGCATATTCGGGGTATCACCAGGTGCCAATGGCTCCAGAAGATGAAGAGAAAACTGCGTTCTATGCTGGCGATGAAATTTATTGTTATGTCATGATGCCGTTTGGCTTGAAGAATGCAGGTGCTACTTATCAGAAAATGGTAACCATTG